AGCACATTCTTAATTGCTGTAATCAAAGAGTCTGTAAGGACAGACTGCAGGTGCAGTAGGACCACAATAACCTACTCACCATATTTATTTATAAGCCCAAGTTTCCTCTCACTTCCTTTCTTTGCATGTGGATGGAATATCTCTAGTCTAGGCTTATTTTTTTTTATTATGAGCCTACAGACTAGAGCACAATGAGCTCCATACCTAGAGTCTCCAGGTGCTGCTGTAATACAGATAAATAAATGACTGATAACAATACAGCCAGATAAATAAAACACACTGGCCTGATATGAACTACTGCATTAGTTAGGCAATTTCCGCTCAGTGGCAATTTCCGCTCAGTAGCAATTTCTCATTCAGGGTACTAACCCACCAAAACAAAGCAAGAGTTTTAAAAAAAAAAAATTAATTACTCTGCATGTTAAATTACTTCTTGATATTTTTTAACCAATATTAAATATTAAAATTAAACAGCCAGGTCTCACATAATTTCAAATTGTGATGTGATAATCCAGAATTTGTGAATTATTGACTGGAAGCCAGGCACTGATTTATAATCCTGGGGCTCTTGAGAAGTATCCCAGGCTCATAAACTGTCCCTAAGTGATAGATTTCACATTTAGTTTTATGACTTCACTGAAATCCATACGGAAATTCTTTTTCTTTGTCCAAATCCACCTATCTGATTCACACACAGGACATCCCAACTTCTGTATAGCTGCCATAGCTTTGGTTTGCTTTTGAGATCCACCTGGTTTAGACGGCAGCATGGAGATTGATCTAAACCACTTGCTTTTTGCCAAATATATCTCCCTTAAGGGCTACACTTTCACACCCATGAAAGGTGTTTCCCAGGGCTGTGTATCTACAAATGGGGGCATTTGTAGTCTCAGGAGAAGCTCTACTTTTTCTTATTCCTAGACACATGTTGTGCAGATCTCAAGACAGATTTGGACTCTTTGGACAAAAAAAAAAAAAAAAAAAGTAACTGTAAAATTAGTTTTGGATTTAATTTTAGAAAATATTAATTTAAATACCTTGCGGAATATCACTAGAATACTATCAATATCCAGCAACAGTTATTTTAAGTTTGTGAAACAGTTGAGTTTTGCAGAGTGGGAAGGAAGACAATAGCATCTTTTCCTCTCAGTTACCATTTAGAGAAGAATATTCTGAACTGAACCTTGAAAGTAGTCAAAACCTGTACTGCTTTTGATTTCAAGAGAAAACACAAATTAATGAAAGAAAATACATTCTAGGAAATATTTTCTAATAAGATTTTTTCCTAACACTTGAAAAAATGAGAGCCTTTCTGAATGGAATTTATCCTTACTAGTTTTTTTGGTTGTGTTTTTTTAACCCAAAGGGGTTTTGGGGAACAAGGAAGGGGATGCTATAAAGCATTTGTACAAAGGAAAGTGAAGAGCACCCACACTCGGCTTGGAAATGCAAAGGAGGCATCATCTCCTCTGGACTTCTGCATTACGAAGCCGTGGCTGCTCATTCCTGGTATTCTGCTGTTTCTCACCTTCCAACCTTGGCTTTTACAGGAAAATTTCACAAGACAAATATATACTCTTTCACAACAAATTCTAGACTATCTTCAGCTGAATTTTGCTTTAGAATGTTTGTTGACTTCTAGTGGCTAATGGTCATCAGGTCCAAAGGTGGGAAGGGAAAAAAAGATCTCATGTTGGATTTACATTGGCACACCTGAAGGTTGTGTGGCCATGCAAGAGCAGGTGCAAACCCATGGGGAACACAGAGAAATGATCAGTTGAGTTTAAAAATCCCCCTCCCACATGTGCTGGATGCTGCTGGGCACCTCACCCTAAGCACCAGGATGACAGGACAGCAGAGTGCGGGAAGGTGGTGCAAACAACTATGAAAAACATTTGATGCTGCAGCTGAAGCTTGGTTTTTATTGGCCAGCTACAAGGTAAACCCCACACCACCTCAACACAATACGATGGTTTTGGGCAGCGCTGCCCATCCTGGGGCACCATGAGGGAGCTCTGGGGCGACCAGTGCTACTATGCCCAGGGTCTGCTTTGGGGCCAGGACATCTACCAAGATCACTCCTACCTTGGCTGCCACCATAATGTCACTAGCACAGCTCCTCACCTCCCAAATCTGATGTGTCCATGTCCTCTCCAGTTCTATGCCACCAGCACCTCCCTGCATTCCTGTGTCTTCTGGCAGGTGACGGTGGAGGCTGCAGTGAGGATGTCTTCTCTTCCCTGATCAGTCGTGATCCCCCGTGCTTGGGTTAGTCTGACAGACCAAAGCTGCCCTACTTGCAGAACCCTGTCCATGCCCTCCTCAGAGCACCAAGAGTGGGATTTCCACCTCTCAGATGACAAGTGAGGAAAATGCAGCTTGACAGGCGTCTCCTTCCCCTTCACCAGCCGGCAGCTGGCCAGTGAGAGGGCAAGGGGCACCCACGCCATCCAAGTTTGGTCCAGCACTAGTCACAGGAAAGCATTTCACTCCAAGGCTAGGGAGAAGGGAAATACCCATCAGAGATGGAGTGGGGAATTTGTGTCTTTTGGCACAGAAGATTTTCAGAGCTGAAAGCATTGCAATGTGCTAGGTTTCTAGGGATGGAGAGAGAAAAGGATAGAGAGACTTTCCTCTCCTAGAACAGAAGATACATGGGCATAACTGAGATGTATATTACAGAAATGGCCAAAGCTAAAGGTGGACTGTCTTTTAAATGTTTTACACCTATCTGTCTACATTTCTCGTGATTTCAAGCCCACAATAAATAAAGGAGAAAACACTATCGCCTACTTTTTATGGTTCTCACTTCTTGCTGTTTTTCCTGGTGCTTCCTCAGATTCTGACATAAATTTCAGCCTTTGTTTTAGAAACAAGGCTCTGTTTCTCATGGTCAGAGAGAAAAAGATGAAAAGGTTAACCCTAAAGTCAAAATGCATAAGCCATGCCAAACAAATCCAGCATTTATCTTCATTTCACAGCTCATTTTTTAAGTCTATCCTGCAATTTGAAGAGCTGATACAATATATTCAATGTCCTGGCCTGTCAAGAGTGGTATATGAAGTACACAAGGGAGGTAAAAACACTAAGCACACTGGACTTCTATGGTAATGTTGTGTCTGCCACAGAGAACACAGGAAGACTTTAGAAAGAAAATCATAGCACAGTGTGGATAGATAAATATTGTGTGAGTGCTTTGTCTTGCCTCTGTCTTTGACAGCTCATGAGATAATGAACCTGGCATTTTTTAGATTTTTCTAGCTTTTCTATACAGATGGGTGTTCTTGAAGTTCAAGTAAATTCAGGTAATTGAGTGGAACAGCTCAGCATGAGCAATTAGCAAGCACTCATTCTCCTTTAACTCTTTCTTTCTCTGCTAAGGCACATTTGTAATGATAGTGCTAAGCTATATGACTGTAGTTTATCCTCCACTGATTTTTCCATTTATTACATGGTCATTAATATATGTATGTATATATATATATATATACTAGGAATTACCAGGAATTAGAGATATTATGTAGCAGATACCTTACTAATTTCCAAATTATTCAAAGCACAACTTTATGTGGACTCTAACCCAGCAGATCCTGACCTGAGGTTGATGGACTCCTGCTAGCCCCAGCAAGCTGTGGCTATTCTGGAGCCCCTCTGAACATCATCATTTACTGACTCGGGTGGCAATGGTTTATACCGGGGAGCCCAAACTTTTTTGTAATACTAGACTGCTCTTAATCCACACAATTTCATGTGTAGCATTGCGGAACCCATCACCAAGCGTGTAAATGGAAGTATTGCTGCTGAAAGCAAAATTTGCCCATTCCAATGACAATCAAGTGTTTTATGAGAAGGAAAAATATGTTATGCTGTACTAAAGAAAGTGTGACCACAAAAGCTATCACGTCCTGGGAACCTGGTAACACTTTGCAAATGCACCCAGTGTGCATTTATAGAAATCTGGAACTTACTTGCACCGAGGCATCTCTCCTGGGGAAACAGCCATGCAGAAACATTTGAAAATCAGGAATGAGAGGTAAATACGTTAAACTTTCACATCGATTCTTTTCCTATTTAGAACTTTTAATGTGCTTTATTACCCAGTATTTAGTCGGAGTTTCTAAATAAAAGAAGTCATGACTAACTACCAAGAACCAAGGACCAGCATTTGTGTCATGCCCAGTGTGGGTCCTGACCATACTGCAAGATACCTTTCTGTGAACTAAACCACTTAAGAACAAGGGTAATGCGCTGCCATTGTATTATGTTACTTTGAATACAAAACTTTCAGGGTTTCTTCAGAGGTCCTTATGTCTAAGTCCTTCATAAGGCTAGTGATTAAATTTATAAAATAAAATAAATTTAAAAAAAAAAATAGAAACTGAAAACCTGAAGACAGTTCACCTTGCCCCTGTTCCAGGTACTTTCTTGTGGTGGAAACAGAAATCATGAATGACTCCAAATGAGAGAGGCTCAGAGCGCAGGTGCCCAAAGGGTTGTGATTTATCAGTGTGCTCCTTTACAAGCCCTTAGGCAACGTTAAACGTCTCTTTTTTGGCACAAATAGATGTAGATTTGCCCTGTTTTATGAGTTACTTTGGATACTGTTTTCTGCCTTTTTGTATATTGCCAAAACAAAGATGTTACATCTGTTTCATTTAAAATTCCTAATTCAGGCTTACAGCCAAGCATCAAACCAGTTTTGGAGAGTTAGCAGAATTAAGCAGTGACTTATTCCTTTGTATTTTGAAAATGCTATTCATTTTAATACATTTGTCAATGTAAGTACTAAGTAAGTTTTTAGTATGGTGATTCTGAAAAATCGCCTCCCAGAACCTTATTTTCCTAAATTATGTAGTCTGTGATAACTTATTTTAGAGAGCTTTGTATAAATCAAGCAGCTGATCTGAGTCTGAGGCTACAATAAATGATGTCTTTATCTTACGTTGCACGCTAATCACTGTAATAACTGTGACACTATTGTCCATCCTACTTTAGATTGCAGGGAGGTTATAATTCAGTTTTAGAACAACTCTTTGCTATACCAATGACAAGTTTTCTTGTTTTCATTTAGTATGTTATATTTTGGAATGCACAAATAATTTATTTAAATAAAGGTATATACAAATATGATGAAGGAAAAACTCTACAGAATTCAGTACAATGGCTGCATGCAGTGGGAATGACACTATGATGTGCTTCAGAGGTGTGGAGCATGAACTGAAAACTAGGAAAAGTTTTGGCGGTGTGCTGAAAATCCCATCACCACATCGAAGGGTCTTCAAACCTGCAATACATATTATGAATAAAAAAAAAAAAAATTAAACACATTTTAAAGCCCCTTCTGAAAAGTCTAAATTTTAGTACTACCTTAAATTTTTATTTTCCTAATAGGACCAATAAGAAATACATATGCATATTTGCAGTTGAAGAATGTATATGCAACTGGATGAAAGCAGAAGCATCCTGGCTGGCCAAATGTCCATATGTTGGTACCAGACCTTGTCCCTCCATACTGCTGCCCAAATGGCGTGTTTTTACACCACTGACAGTCACTGCAAAGCTGTTTAATGCCATTAAGAAGCACTTAAAGGATTTCAGCTAGAAAACTACGATATGCTGAAATACAAATAGAGATATTTTTCACTGCTACTCAGGAGTAAACAGTTTCCAAAGAGAATTCAGTGAGAAAAACAAACCAACCACAAAACTGTATGTCATGCTACTACCACCTTCAAACAACACTGAAGTCCACAGCCACCATCCTAAAATATTATTGTGGTGTTCTACCTCTCAATATTAAACACTTGAAATATGTGTTGAAAGGCTTGCTGTGGGCAGGGTTTGATCTAGAAGTCCTCTACTTGAAAATAGCTGTTCTGTCTACACAGCAAGTCAGTCAACAAGTGGAGAACATGGAGAGAGACTAGAGGAGATGCATTGGCTGTAATTTTTGCCATCTACAAGCTGGGTATCTAGTCTTCCTTCACAGTCACTGGGGAGACCCTGGAGAGGGCAATTGATCCTGCCCATTTTCAGAGGGAAGGCTCATTTTGGGGATACCCATCCCTCCGACTGACTGCAAAGGCAGCTTAGACAACTACTTCACAGTAGATACCTAACTTTTAAAGAGGCAGCAGTAGGGGAGACACGTACTGTTACTGAGTTTTAAATGCTTTCTCACGACTCCACAGGCTCGAGAAGATTGGAAACACACCACATCACATATTTTTGTCATAAGAACATATCTGTACTCAGGTCAAGATGCCTCATTTTTTTATTCCTTAATTTCCTATATTTTAACTGGTTTCAATAAGAGTCTTTCTAAATTTTCTTTATATGGTCAGACATACACCTAGACTGCAAAATACTTTGGGGCATATTTTAGTTGGCAAAAGTGAAATGTCAAACCAGGCCAACCAAGCTTAATACAGTTTAGTTGTTTATTAATACCTCAATGCTTAGTTACAAAGTTCCTTCCGGAGAACTCACGAAGTGGGTCTCTTTCTCACTGATTCACTGAGTGAAAATTACATCTTCTCCATAACTGGCTGCGTATATAACTATTTCTAAAACATATACTTCATTAATTGAAGTTCAGAATAATACCAGCCTGCCTTTCATTCATTCAGCCTGGCTTCCTCCAGGAGGAAGGCTTAGGCAGCTGTGTTGTACCTGGGCATATTTTCTGTGTGTCCAGCTGTCCACCCCTGCATGGCTCCTCTAACTTCCTCACCAGCTTTCAAACCCTCTGGACAATTTTAACCAAGTCAGACAGAGGTACAGATATCTCAGAGATATTAAGTTCCTGATGTGCCATGAAACACAGGGCTGGGTAGAAAGAAGATTTAATTATGTCCTTTCATGGAGGGAAAAGCTGGAGCAGGGTTCAAAATCCATACAGGGTTTTATCCTAGAAAACATATCCATAGGAAACTAGACATCATAGTTCCCAGTACTCCCATAATTGTCATCAATGAATGACAAATACCATAGTCAGTTTAAAGTGCTGTTACAGGGGGTATGAAATAAAAATCTGTTTCTCATCAATTCTTGATCTTAAATGCAGACTAGTTTGTTATTTTGTTCATGAGTTTTTGCTCCCTGGTGTGTTATAAATAGCATTATTGAAACAATAATAATAACCATAAAGTTTTGTTATGAAGGGGTGAAAATTACAGAAGAGTATTAGACTTTGTACTACCCTGTGTGTTGCCTCAAATTCATGGCAGCGGAAATTTCCCATTATGTGAAGGCTCTGCCTTGTTATTACCAAACACAAAATAGTCTAATACATTTCACTGCACTCCATGCAGTTTTTTACATAAGCATCTGCAGAGAAAACTGCATCCCCACAGCTGCGGTTAGTCATCAAACCGTAAGTCAATGGTCTCCCTATGCGCAGAACTGCAAGTGTCATGGACAACTTCCCTTGATGGTGGTAGAAATTTTGGTCACGTTTCAGTGACAAGATCATTCCCTAAGTACAGTGCTACAGAGTATGCTTATGTACTTAACTAGTCTAATTGAGCCTTTGCAAATCTGATGAAAATGCAGAGCATTTGCTTGTAGACTCCTGAGATAACTACTGCAGAAAAAAATTATTTCTGCAGTAAAAGTATTATCAGCAGACTTCAGGCTATCAGTAAAAGCTTAAACTGAGTTCATTCGTGCTTGATTGTAAGTGCAACTAAAACCGGTATTTTCCTTCATGAGACAAAACCCTCCCATATCTTACTTTTTCAACATACTTTTAGCTGTGTAAATTGTAGTCATTAACACAGTATCCTGCATTATAGCTAAAGTGTCATTACCTAAGTAGATAAATACAGTATGTACATTTGAAATCCCTGTTTCTTGAAACACCACTGTTATTTTAAACCAAGTGCAAATGGAAATATAAAGGCCTTTCTTCCCTTTGTAAAATATTAGGTACAAAAGCAATGTGAAATACTGTATTTTAAAGACCAGCCATAGCCATGCATTTGTGTATACGTTAATATATGTGCATATTTACCACTCATACATCTTTAGAGGAAAAATTTAAACTCAAGTAGCAAATGAGTAGAAATATGCCATTTTGGGGTCTCTAATCTATCATCAGGCATGAGTGTACAATTCCATGTAATAAAGCCCAGTCAAGCATTGTGGGAATGCTCCTCTTCCTCCAAACAGCAGGTATGGCCTGCTGCCAAAATCAGGAGACATGGAGTTTGGACTATATTATATCTGATAAGGCATTTCTTGCATTCATGGATGGTAATAGCTCTTAACAAAAAAAAAAAAAAAAAAAAAAAAAAAATGTTTTTTCAGGACATGTTTACCCAGCTGTTGGTGGCATATGTTTTCTCCCTGTGAAACATATTTATTGATGACAAATGGAACTGTTAAATCTAAATGAGAAGTGAAAGCCACCACAAAATTTCTTCATACATACCTGGATCTAGGAATATTTTCTGTGCTTTCTCTCAACAACAGGTCTGAGATCAGTGTCTCTGGGCTTGATCTCTTTCCATATCTAAGGAAAGAGAAAATAAGTGTATTTTTGTATATGTCAGTTTTTAAAAAAATTAAAGACTAAGCATGGAACCGTTAAACAAATCTTTTCAGAAAAACTGAATGGAGCAGGCATAAAGACAACTTCCCAGCAAGTATTTTAACTGAATTTGACTTAGTCACATGAGAAAATGTTCACTCTTCAGTATTTCTTTGGATATATTTTTTCCATAATCATGTTACATGTCAGTATTGAGAAACTCTGAGTATTTCTCAATTCGATGGCTGTTCCTGGATATTCTAAGGCCTTGCACCTTACTGATGTGAGCACGGGGGAAGGGGGAGGAAGCTGTGCATGACGTGACCTCTGAGCACCTCATTCCTGCCTACAAACTCAGTTCCATCCTCTCGTTAACGTTCACATTGTCTTACATGCTACTGTATTGTAAGTGAGGAGTCAAGTTTATTTATTAAGTGAATAGAAAACTAACTCAGTTATGTCATATTATCCAAGGAACTAGCCAAGATTTTTTAAGACAGCTAGTACCTTTGGGGCTGCCCAGCACATAGCACATTAGGTTGTAAAAACTGAACTACCCCAAGGTAATCATCACTTTTGAACTATGTGGCCATGGGAGAGTAAACTTCCTGAATCAGAGTTCTTTTTTGATTAAATGCGATATCACTGGCTAGCTTTGTCCTATATTCACACAGCAGCTGTCTTTCTGTTAGTTTGGTTTGGTTTTGGTTTGGTTTGGGTTTTGTTTTTTTTTTTTTTAAATCCTGGATACTATACATTGCTCAACAGTTAAAATTACTTTAATTCCTGGTTCTTGGGAAGGAGTTTGCTCTCTTTTCCTGAGAAAACAGAAGTGACAATGAGCAGCCAGTTTGACAGGTATTTCTTCACTGTAAGGACTCATTAGCCGAAAAGTGATAACTGTAAGCAAACACTCCCTTGGTTAGAAAGAATTAAGATCATGATTTCTAACTTGTGTATGCAATTAGTTTGAATCACAAAGTACATTAACAGTTAACAGCTTTGTGAATGCTGCTTGAGTGAAATTCCCATTCCAGAGAAATGAAATGTGTAATTAAGGACTTAGATTTTATCTGTTGCTATCAAGATGTTTCTCCAATTACTTGATCTAAATTTAGGGAGGGGAAAGAAAAAAAAAATAAAACAAAACAAAACAAAACATCCCAAACTGTATTTCAAAAACTAGCAGTTTTACCTGTTGATGGCATGACTTACTGAAAAGTGGAAACATATCTCTCTTTTCAATCATTTTATTCAACTTTTTGTATTTTTACACCGCCTTAATCATTTTAGCATATCACCTGTGCCACAGAAAGACAAAGCACCTGTTTCAGAATTTTAAAGTAAATTTCTTGATCTAAACTGACTGTAAGCAGGTATCTGAAAAGAACCAGCCAGACGTAGTGAAATGCTATTACAATAATGCAATCAAGCATAATGCTGAATCAAATACCTTGCACTCCATCACCACAAAGGGATTTCTTTCTTTCTATACACCTATTCCAACTAATATGTATGCAACCTGGACTTCAGCTGAAGGGGACTCTAATTTGCTGTTATGTTAAAGAAAATGATTTAACAAATCAACAACCTGCTCCAACAGCTCACACTTGGGCAAAACTCCCACTAATCTCTCAGAAAGTTTTGTCTGAATAAGAAATAGGTAGGAAGCCCCCTGAGTGCAGAGATTCAGTCAAATCACGAAGATGAGTGTGTTGGGGAGATGTCTTTTATGAGTCACTTCAGTGCCTTGGCTAGACCAGTGCTGCTACCTGTGCTGCTACCCACCGTGTCCTCACACAGCAAAGCTCCAAGCTTCGTGCAAATACCTGGTCAGGTTTTATGCTCCGCTTGAGACACCAAGACCTTTTCTCAGGCATGCTGATAACTCACAACTCCAGCTGAAGTCAAAAGGTTTGAAGAGTAAACACACTTACTCTCATGAGGGACACAGTATTTCAGACTCAGCAAAATCTCAAAGCTTCCTACGAAAACTTGGGTCTTGGGAGTCCAACCCCATCAATGCCCTCGGCCGGCAACAGAAGCCAAGGAATCTCAGAAGCAACTCGTGGGTCTGATTCAGAAAACTGCCAAAAAACCCGAGCTCTCAAGATCTGCTCCCTTCCCCATTAAAGGTTGTTGACATAAAGCGGGACCATCAGTACTGCCTAAAAGTCAAACTCGCTTTCAGATATTCTCTGCCCTGCCCAGAGTTCAAGCCATTTCCAGCAGGAGCAGCCTTACTGTTTGCTATGGCACAGAAGAGCCACTGATTCCTGAACAAGCTACAAGGGACAAGAAAGGAAAAGGGCCTATTGGCAAGAGGGAGTACAGGTAGTACCACGTAGCAGAAGGAGGAGTGATTCAGGTAAAGATGGGCTCTGAAAAAAGCCTCCTGAGCAGCGCAGTAGAGGGGTATGAAGCAAGGACCACAGGATGGTTTTGAGGACAGAGGTGGAACTAATCCAGAGACACACAGACATCTGCAGGGTATGAGTCTGCATCTGTGCTGGTCACCTTAGGCTCCCTTTTAAGTCACAAAGACCTGGCACATGAGGAACAAGGGATCTCATCAGAAACAAGAAGTCTGAAACAAGCCTGGTAACCCGCACCCAACCCGTTTCCCTCAGCTAACCTCAAAGGGGTATAAAGCTGATGGGCACAGATGTCTAAAACTAAGTGAGATGGATCTGAAGGAGAAGGATCTCAAAGGAGAGAGGGAGCAAAGCAGCCACACAGTCAAGGTCTAAAGACCAGAAGAGAAATATGGTCTGGAAGGAAGAAGCTTTATGGGAGCTGGGGTGAAGACTCTGTGGGGCACAATAGCTCAAAAGGGAATGATACTCAAATGCTTGGGTTAGGCCAGAAGCAGGAGCCAGGAGGATGAGCCAGAAGGTTATTCATAATCACAAAAACATGCAACAAGACAAGACAACTGAACCTGAAGAGAAAAAAACATTGATCTCATCCTTTCCCAACTTGCTCTTACTGCTCCACCTCACAGTCGCACAGCGACCAGGCTGCAAGCACCAGGAGGAGCAGCACAAAGCCCCTGGACCCCTCGTCGCCCCCCCGTGACAGGGCTCCCAGGCAGCACCATGCCCAAAAGGCAGAGGTAAAAAGCTGGAAGAAGAGAGGAAGCTTCAAGCACATCTGCTGAAACAGACCACATGATTATCCTTAGACCAGTCCAAAATGCTTCAAAAGTTATTGCTGCATTTTGTGACTGTGTCGCTGCTGAAACAGGGAACCTCCAGGAGCTCTCAGTTAAGCTTTCCAGATGGAGGCGGCAATTGCTTTATTTCTACACTGTTAATTCACCACACAGTGGAAACAGCACACCTTTTTTTTTTTTTTTTTTTTAGTTAACCTATGTAGTCACCCTTAAAATGTGTATTGTGAAGCTGACATCGTGGTAGTTTTTTTCTGCCGGCTTTCTTGTACTGACAGGTCAATTCTGTTCCCTTTAAATATGAGAGGGTGGGTAGGAAATCTAGGCAAAATCTGAAGAAAAAAAATTTAAATTCTGCATTGTTTTATCCATCAGCAACTAACTATTTCAGTCCATTTCAGAACCCAGATCCACACAGAGGAATGAAAGCAGTCTCAGTCTCCAAGTTGCACCCCAGAAACTAGGGAAAAAAAAGCTACACAGTCAAGATTAAAGCAAGCATAGAGAGCACACACCAGAAGTAGAGATTGAATAAAGAAAGGAGGGTTTGTCGGGTTGGGTTTGGGGTATGGGATTTTTGTTTTTAAGCATGACCTGGTTTTGAACAATAACCACCTTTGACATGGGAGGTGAAGGAAAAGAAGAGCTGAGTGACCAGCCTGGAGATCCCACCTCATGTGAGGGAAAAGGGCAGCAGAGGCAGAACTCAAGGATCAGACTATTTTTAGCAGTAATCTAGAGAAGAAGTTATCCGATCGTGGGCTATCACACAGAAGCATGCCATACACATGAATGAGTTGTGAACATTGCTTTAAAAGTTCAGTACTGAAGAACTGTATTTCTGTCAACCTCTTCATCTGTGTTATGCTATTAGTGCCCTGGCAGGTAATGTTATGGGCTTGCTGGGAAAGCGCTGTGTTACACGATAGCCTCCCTTCCAATTTAATTCTCCAGACTTCTAGAGGGACAAATGAAAGCCTGATTTTAGACCTCTCATCTGGTTTTGATATTTAACACACAGATAAATATGTCAAAGCTCTTCTGGACACACTGTCCAGGGAGGAACTTCTATTAATACACAGTCTAAACTGGACAGAAGCTCCCAAATAAAATTATTTCTTATAGTAATTTGCACTTTTTAAAGACCGAGCCTCCTACTTTAACAAGCACAGTCATCCCCAGAAAGCCAGTTTAGGGCCAGGCAGGTTCGGGTCACACCATCTTCTCTTTCAGCTTGGGCTTAGGTTCTTGCTTGTGGTCTTGAGACAGTTTTTGTTAGGACTAGTGGGATTTCGCCACTCACAGCTGCATGAAGTAGCTGGCAAACCACAAAGTATCCGGACTACTACAACTCCTCAGCAAGGCTAGAGGGGCACTTTTTTCTCATCAAAATCTTCACGAGAGTTGGTGGCAGCAACAGAACTGGGAAACCGATCCTACTGCCCTATCTAACTCCCCCCCAGCTCCCAGGTTGTTTTCTCTCCCTTTTGGGGGGCTCTCCCCACGCGGGCTGCCCTGCGGTTCACGCTCCTGCCTGCCAGCCTGCCTGTGCCGGGGCTGGAAAGGGCTGGGAGACCAGCGGCTGCCTCGACACCCCTGCCCCTTCCGACAACTTGGATGGTGGAAATTCAGCTCGGGGGCGCATGGCTGTCTCTGTCTCTAAAGGACGTCTGTGCACCGCGTCTTTCTCCCCGTCGGTGGCAAGACACCCAGGTGCGAGGGGGCACCCCACCTTCCTCCCCTGAGCCTCGCCAGGGAAAACGGCAGCCCGGGGAGCGGGACGGGGGGATGTTGGCCGGGCCGCTCTGCCTACCTCTGCCTGGTGATGAGGTTGATGTAGTGCCTCAGCGCCGAGTAGTATCTGGCCATGTCCTCTGCGGGGGCGTCCTCGCCGGGGCTGTCCGGTTTGGAGGGGTACGCCTCTGCCAGCGTCCCCAGGCAGACCAGCAGCGACAGGGCGAACGTCAGCACCGACACCCACAGCCTCACGGTGCCCTGCATCTGCACGGCGGGGCGGGATGAGGGGAGAAGCCGCCGTTAGCGCCCGCCCCGACGGCGGCAGCACCGCGGCCGCCCCAGCGCGCCCCGGCCCGGGCCGCCCCACGCCCTCCCCCCCCCCCCCCCCCGGCACCGCGTCCGTCCCGGTGTCCGTCCCCACGCCCAAACCCAAACCCACGCCCGCCCCGTCGCGGCACTCACGGCGGCGGCTGCAGCGGAGCGGCTCTCGGCTCAGCGAGGCGCTTCTGCCCGTGGGTCGGGGGCTCCCGAGTGCGGGGCTCCGCGCCACGCCGGGGTGTTTTAAGGCTTCCCCGGCAGGCAGGAGGGGCCTCGGGCGATCACGCCTCGCCCGCTCCGGTCCCCCCCCCCTTCCTCCACCGCCGCCCCCCACCTCGGGTGGGGCCCCGCGGCCGCGGCCGGGCGGGACCGAGGGGGCGGGCGCTGCCGCTGCCCCGCCGCCGCCCGCGCACCGCCCCGGCACATCCCACTCCACTCGCGGGTTCTGCCCCCGGCCCCGCGTGCCCCGGGTCCCGCAGCGGGGGCCCCGATGCCTGCCGCCGTGGAGCCGCCGTGCCGCCCGGGGCCCGGAGCCGGCAGGGGAAAGGGGAGCGAGTGCGGGCAGAGCCGGTTTACCCCGCGGGCCCGAGCTTGAGCTTCTCGGCAGCAGCGCTGCCGGACGTAAAGCCGAGAAAGCAAGACGGCTTGGAGCAACCAAAAATGCCAAATCAGTGCCGCGGACTCAGACCTCATACCTGCTAAACGGGTAAACCTTGAAGATTAACTCCCCAGGGGACTGGCAGCAGAGCTGCAGCGGTGAAACTGCACCTCCCTCTGTGCCCGCTCTGCCAGGGAGACCCTCTGCCCCCCTGCCCAGGGCTGCCTTCAGAGTGGCTTTTCTAAAGTGACTTTAGTCTGTTTTATTTCTGTGCCTGAGCCGCATGCCACAGAAAACAGCTCACCACTGCCAAGGCGTCACGACAGCCTTTCCAGTCCCGACCTGAGGGAAGCACTGCTGAATCGAGGACATGGCAACTTCTTCCAGCAATGCGGGTTTACAGGGACCGATCCGGCCAAGGTGCCAGATTTACATTTCTCCCTAAACTTGTCCAGACCTAGAGTCAGTGGGGAGAGATGGGCCCCCTGACAGGGACCTAATCCCCCATACAACAGAGGTCTGAGATAAGCAGAGTGGGCATCTTCTGGCCACACACCCTTCTCCACTGACTACAGTGGCAGCCTAGGTGGCCAGGCTAGGCTACACCTGACTAACAGCGTGCCTGAAGTCGGGTAAAATGAATCCAACCCAAAGTTTCAGAATCTGTTGGGGAGTTTGGTAGTCGGAAACTATTCATATATATCAGTAAAATTAAGTTAATTCTTTAGAAACAGGTAATTTGATTAGCATCTTGATGACCAATGACTAATTCCAATTGGAATGACAAATCATGACTCTGATAGTATCTTATTTTTAATTTGAAGGTAAAATAGCAATCACCCAAGTAAGAACAACAGACATACTGACAGAAAGCTTTAAGACATGGTCTAAAATTATATCATACATATACCACTGTAAATGTAGTTACTAATTTCTATAATTATTATCATATGCAGTGTTTTGCTTAATAATAATCCAGCAGACTCTGAAAAACAATATTCAGTTTGCAAGAACAAAACTAGAAATTGTTTTCATCACTCCAGAAACAGAATCTCAACATTATATTAAAAAAAAAAAAAAAACCTAGCAAATAAATGGCTCTTGTGGTGTGCGAGGAAGCTCGCTGGACTATGTCCATTTCAAGCCATGGAAGCAAAGAAAATTCCAGACGTCCTAATATCAAGAGATATTTTGAAACCTTCATGACTCCATAGTGCACCAGCCACAAACCTTACAGCAAGATTACGGGCTGCCTTTATCACATGCTGAGTGAAGAATTTTAACGCGTGTGGATAATTTTCCATGCCACGGCCAGCAGTTCTAGCTCCTAATTTCAGCAGATCTGTGCCATAGGGTGACATCACATCTTACAAAGTGACATCACTGCATCCCCGTGCTCTCTGTCCCCCCACCAGCAACACTCCTGCACATTCAGTGTTCACGTTGTCCTCATGTTGGCTCAACAGAAGCAGCTGATATGACAGTCTGACACTGGTAACACTATCAACCTTCAAGGCAGTTCAAAGAAAGAGGAATAAGCTAACAGACGAGCAAGATAAATGTGAAATCTGGCATCTACACGCTTACTTGGTCTACAAGAAGGCAACGACATTCCCCCACCGCGGGTATGGGCATATTGTTTGACACAGCAGCATGTCACGCTGCCACGTCCTGGCACAAATCACCACCACTGGGCAATCAGCTGTTGACATCTCCAGAAACCCTGGCTGAATCCCTGCTCTTTTCCTATGATCAAGTACGAGCAGTAAGCTGCTCCCTCCGAGGAAATGAATAACAAATCATACCCGCTAAGTCCCTCTACAAAATGCTGGGTCTGGAGCAGCAGCTCCCCACAAAAATAAGGTACAGACCACACTAACAGTCAGTTTGCTTCACAGCATGAGGAGGAGTGGGGGAAGCCCTCTCTCTCATGCAGAAAGGGGAATCAAATCCACCACCCGCACAGGACGGCAGCTCCTGCAGCTGCAGGCTGCTTGGCAGGGTCTGGGGGGAGGTTTTCCCCTCCACGGCACCATGACCCCAACCAACTCATCTGTTGTGCCTTACCTATGGGTGAAGTGGCATCTCCCAGCTTGTGCAGAGTTTGGACTCAGGTTCCCACTCTGAGTGGCCTAAAGGTTCAGGAGATGTCAAATCTTGCTGCACCTCCAGAATAACACTTCTTTTTGTACGGTTCCAGCATTTAATTTGGGAAACCCAAAACACTGAAATCAAAGTTTTAATCACCTTGCTTTCCACAGTGCCTATTTCTGTAACAGTATTGAGGCACCGCTCAGCTCCAGGTGTATGCTTATGCCCCATTTCATCATTTAAGACGAAGCATACACCTTAGAGCTTTCTTGAGTCTGGAGACATTTATGTCTGGAGCCATTCTGTAAATTCTCACAAAAATGTCCTCTTCTTCTGTTTTGAAACACTGAAAATCCATACAGGCTCATTCCGTTCCTACCATAAAACATATATTAAGCTTAAATAACATAGATAAAACATATTTTGGATACATAACATATTCATCAGTATAATCTCAATGCAACAAATACTGGTATTTTTAAATTGATGAAACAGACCCTGTACCTAAAGTTACAGACATATATAGACTCCAGTGTATCAGTGAGACTGAGTGTTCCTGGCTCTCACTGATCTTAACGGATGTTTTACAAGTAGTTTCCAGAGTCAAGGTCTCCTGCACCCTTGATGATGCCTGTTGATGATTACTCCAGGTGGGTGCTTGCCCAGCGTTGCTGTACTTACACAAAGTGGGCAGGCATTTGTATTCTGGCAAATGGCAGGGCTGCACGTTCCACAAGCAGCTTTGGAATGGGCTGTAAGGGTGAACAAGGAGGTGGTGAGGGTGTTTGGAAAGAAACGAGTAAGACTCAGAAGAGCTGATGAAGAAAGTCTGGAAGAACTTCATGGAGTTAAAGAATGCAGCCTGGGAGAGAGAGCAGAAAGGCACAGGCATAGCTCAGGTATGGCAGCACTTAGATATCCATGTTTTTTCTTTGCCAAGTCTTACAGGCTTGCAGATGTGCAACTCCTAGCTACACTATAGCTAAGAAATCAGGAGCTTGAAGAGTATTTAACTACATACAGAGGGCAACACGGGCATTTCAAAGCTCTGAGCACGTATCAATTCCAGGTACAGCACCAAAAGGAAAAAAGTGAGAAGGAACATGACAGCCACATTTTGCCTACATTTTAGTGTCATGACATGTAAAGATTCAACAGACAGCTGTTTACGCCACAAAGAACAAGAAGGCTTCCAAGACATCAACGTAGTAAAAGTAAGATGATACTGTTCTACAAGCAACATAAATGTGAAAGAAAATTCAAGTCATTTATTAATGATAATATATACAATTGCATTAAACAGGGACATGATATTTTCCTTAATTAAAACAAAATTTAATGTGATTAACTTTGGACAGAATATTAATTATAGCATGCTTTCTGTGGTAGGCATGGAATTAAAGCCGTTCTTTATCATTACAAATATACATAATGTAATTTTCTCACTGCAACAAGTGTAAGGTTGTGTGCATCAGTGATCTTAAACTAACATTCCATAATAGCCCATTACTGCTCCTTGTTTTAAATGCAAGAAAAAGATCTATCTCCTAATAGAGGGAAAGTGTTAAAAGTTGGAGCCCCAGGAAGAAAAGGTTTATGTGGTACTAGAGACCTGGAAATGGCAGATTTTATCAGCTGATGTTGCCAGTGCTCTTGCAGTTAAAGTCTCACTAAAGGTTTCCATGGCTGAGCAAACCTTCCAGAAATGCTGAATCTTTAGGACTGGAAGTTCAGTCAGATAAGCAGTGTATAAATATTCAGTAGTCACATGAATTTATCTGAACCGATTTGGACAGAAAATGGGGCTGCTAATCTCATCAAATCAGACTCTCACATACTTTACAGTATTGCTGATTTCAGTCTGCTTAGCAATACTTTCAGAAAAGGTTCTCACTGTGCTTTGGCACATCATACCAGTACCCACATTTCCAAAATTTTGTGTCCTTTTCAGTACTTTTATTCTCCTCCCCCTGTACATATGGGTAAGAATTGAACAGGACACCCTCTAATCCTAAAGCGATCACCCCCTTCCTGTCCGCTCTCCAGTAGAGACATCCTTGTGAGTCCAGCAAGTATTAAATAGGTTTATAATACTCCATCAAAAAGTGGGGCTCTGGCTAAGTACAAACAACATGAAAACATAAGAGAAAAGAAAAAACTATTGAATCAAACCAAAGGCTCATCTATCCTGTCCTCAGTGTCATCTAAAGGCAGGTTCTTAAGACTGTCAGAACAGGAAAAGCATGTTACGCTATTTTCCCAACCTGTATAAAACTGTAATTTAGAGACACCCTAACCAGCAGTCAAGGTTTTGTACGTTCCAGCAAATTTTGAGCATCACCAGCCTCCCGTGGCAGTCCCACAGCATTGCTGCCGTGGATTACAGGAGAGGAACAGAAGTCATCAGCTGGCACCGTCCCTCTGTTACCGCTTTGACGTGCCCGACTTCCCTCCCGCGCCCGTGTGTCACCTTGCCCAGCAGCACCAGCACAGCCCAGCACTGCTGCTGGGGAGACGGGTGGTGTTCACACACCAAGGCGGTGAGTGACACTGCAGGCACCGAGTGGCACCTCCTGCCCTCCAGCAGGAAAAAG